CCAAGAGTTGTTGAGCACACATTATGTAGCAGGCGTTGGGGTAAATGTTATCTAACTCAGCCCTTGCAAGACTTGGTCTTATGAGGGAAGTATTATCATTGGCTCTATCTCACCTGTGAAGTAACTGAGGCTCTGAGAAGTCGAATAACTTGCCAAGGTCACACAGAAGAGTAAATGTCCAGGATTCCAGCGTGGAATTGTAACCGCTGTGTGTCACTGCCTTGCTGCTTGGGAATTTGACTCTGGAAGGGAGAAAAGCACTGTATCTTGGTTGAAAAGGGTGGTACGATAAGGTCTGGGTTGGGTTTTTTGTCCCTCTAACATTGTGACATTTGGATGTGTCTGAAGGCAGTAGAAAAGGAATCTGCAAAGAGAGAGAGAGATAAAAGAAGGCTGTTAGACAGGAAGAGTGTTCCCCCAGCGCCCAGGACGGCCAGGACTCCGAGCACAGAGGGGGCTGCTGGCCGCTGAGACGGGGAAGGGGCAGCTCCCTTGAGACCGCTCACGAGGCTGTGTCCCGAGGACACTAACAGATTGGCAAGGAAGTGTGGTCCTCTTGACATCGAGTTGAAGTGAGCGTCCAGGGGTGGGGACCGAGGGACAACGTGCTGAGAAAGCCTGGAAGTGTAACCCTGAGGAGTAAGCCAGGCCCTGAGGCCAGGCTGCTGCAGCGGGTCTGGGAGCCAGGCCTGCCCGGCAGGGGCGCTGTCCAGGAGCGCTCTAAGGTCTCGAAGCAGGGCCCAGAGGAAGGAGCTAAGGCGGGGGCGGCGGTGAAATGCCGGAGTCTAGAGAGTCGCCCCGAGTGACTGAGGCTGGAAGCAGCGGTGGCGGGGGTGGGGGGCGGCAGGCACGTTTTGGGGGAGCAGCGGTTGTTGGGGGCAGTTTGTGATTGGAGGAGGTGAGAGGCAGGGAGGTGACGGTGAGAGGGGAGCAGAGACTTGGAGGTGTCAGCGCTGCAGCGCTCCCTGGTGGCAGTCTGTCCGAGGGGAACAGTGAGATCCTGGCTTCTCACCAGACACCGGGACGGATGGTGTGCACGGAGTGTGAGAGCCGGGGGCGGTGGGTGACCGGGACACAGCCTGCCCAGGCACTACTGTGGATTATGTGGGTGATTCCTGCACAGGGCGGGCAGGATGTGGGGAGGGAGAGGGCTGGGAGTGGAGGGCAGGCCAGGGAGGTGGCGGTTTGGACAGACGGCAGAACATCAGCGGTTGAGACGTGGAGTTAAGGAGGAAGGGCGCCTGGCGGGGCTGGGAGGAGACCCGGGAGCAAGGAGAAGGGTGGCCCTCCCTGTGCCCCCTCAGAATGGGGAGCGGCAGGGCTGAACTAAGATTTACTGCACACGTTTCATGTGTCAGGTACAAGATGCTCTATCAATACTAACCCCCTTTTAGCCTTAATATTAACCCTCGACCCATGCTATAGATGAGGAAATTGAGACCTGGAGGGGTTAGGTAAGTTGACAAAGGCCACACAGTTTGTATGTGGTGAGCAAGGATTCAACCCCGACTCTTCTAGCACTAAAGCCCCAGATGTTCCCAGACATTAACCTCCGTGCAGCCCCCAGGACAGGAGAGGCAGGAAGCTGCCCCAGAGCGGGGGAGAAAATAGGCTGAGATCTTGAATGTCGCTCTGCTTCAGGCCACAGCGCAGTCTCGCTGAGGAGGGAGAGGATCACACGGTGACGGCGACCTGGTGGGTTTCATGGGCTCCGGGGAGGACGTGGGTAGGGGGGCCTAGCTGAGAGGTCCACACTTCGCCAAGATGCCACTGTGCCACGCTGGTCAGCGCTGACCTGACCCTTTCGTCTGGGGAGAGGCTGAGGACGTCACGCAAAGCCGCGCAGCGCTGCGGAGCTGGTTGGTGAGCCGCGCGGCTGGCTGAGGCGGCACTGGGCGGTCTAATCCTGCACTTGGTTTCCTTTTCTCCCCTGGATGACTTGCAGAGGGTCGAGGGACCCCTCAGGCACGTGGAAACCACAGCAGGGAGAGAAAGCACAGGGAGTGATGCGCTATAGGCATTTCAACACCTTGCCTCCGTCTCTCCCTCCGTCCAGGGAAAAGCTGTCATAAACAGGGACACCAGACGGTGTCTGGAGATCAAGAAGGACCCCTCTGGCAGCTACATGCCCGTGCTGCAGGCCTGCACCCTGCAAGTGTGGGACATACAGCACACCGTCAGAAACTGGGGCCGGACTGACAGCCAGTGATCCTCAGACAGCCCGCGGGTCTGCGTGTGGCCGGCAGTTCTTGCAATAGGAATGGCTTCTACCCCCAGCACTGCTCAAAGCGGGACAGGGTGAGAGAAAGAAAGTTGTGTGTGTGTGTGTGTGTGTGTGTGTGTGTGTGTGTGTGTGCGCAGCGACTTGGGCGCGTGGTTCACAGGACATGGGGAGGCGAGGCCTGTGCGCGTGTCAGCGTGTGTCTGCTGGGGAAAGGGGAGGAAACGCTGATGTCTTGTCCCCGGCTTCCCGGGGCAGGTCGTGATACGTGTCAAGTGCCACTCTCGGAACCTCCTGGCAATAACCAGCACTGACTGCTACGTGGGGAGGGAGTGAGGAGGATGAAAGTTTGTCTTTGATTTCTGCCCACACTGTTTAGCCTTCCTTCCCCACAGCTGCTGTCGCCATCTGCCCACACCTCCTCCCCTGCTCATCTGCTCAGGGACTCCCTGGCCTGCCAGGGGCTGTTTCACGTGAGGGGCTGTGTGTCCTCGGGCCGGCAGCGTGACAACTCTTCGGGTGGCTCAGACTCTCCCTCCTTTCTACGCTGTCCTGAAAGATGCCGCAAATAGACAAGTTACGTGAAGAAAATTCCTCTCTTCACCCCCTGCGGCAGTCTTATTTGGATTTCCAGCCTCTCCCGTAGCAAAGAGATCTCCAAGGCTGGAGAGGGAAGAAGGCGCCTCGAGGAATTTCGGCTGTTCAAGGCGCAGTGCGTTGGGAATGGCGGGAGGGTCCGGGGCCAGCACAGCCTTTCTCTGCGTAGGTCATAGCACTTAATGTCTTGAAGACCTGTGTCCTCCCACGACTCTGCAAACCGTGGTGAAAATGAGACTTGAACCAGAGGGGCGTCACTTATGGGGGCACAAAGAGGAGGCTGCAGTAAGAATTTAAAACCAGGGGTCTTGGCAGCTGTCCACTGGATAAATCCTTCCCACTGCTTGGTGAGTTGGGAAGATACATCTCAGGCTGCCAATTTTTGGCAAGGTCTTGGAGGCTGGTGGCAGTGGGTGCCGTGGTGGGACGGGAGGTCCCTGTGTGTGTGTTGTGTTGTGTTCGCCCTTTAAGAATGCGCTCCCAGGGCCCCTTCCGCAGACGCCGCTTTCTCTTGTTAGTCCAGAGTCAGGACTACTTGAGAATGATTCTGGGCATCATTAGGTTTCCTGAGGCATTAGACAGGCAACACTGATAATTTAGCACAGAATTCAATTGACTAAGACTTTTTTTAAAAAAAGCTTTTGAAAGTATGAAAGTCATAAATGTACACAGCTTGATAAAAATTTCACAACAAACACATCCATATCAAAAACTAAAACGTGACTGCAGATAAGGTTTTGTTATGAAAAAATAAAGGAACAGGATAAATGTTAAGCCAATGTATAACTCCTAGATTCTGCCTGGAAAATTGAAGGGAAACGCAATTCATAGCAAAGTTTTAAAAAAATATGTACCCGTTAGAAAAATGGACAAAAGACACAATATCCTTAAACATATGAAAAGATGTTTAGCCTCATTTATAGTTAGAGAAATGCAAATTAAAACTGTACTGAGAGGTCGGGCGCGGTGGCTCACGCCTGTAATCCTAGCACTCTGGGAGGCTGAGGCGGGTGGATTGTTTGAGCTCGGGAGTTCGAAACCAGCCTGAGCAGGAGCGAGACCCCATCTCTCCTAAAAATAGAAAGAAATTAAGCGGACAACTAAAAATTTATAGGAAAAAAAAAAATAGCCGGGCATGGTGGCGCATGTCTGTAGTTCCAGCTACTTGGGAGGCTGAGGCAGTAGGATCGCTTGAGCCCAGGAGTTTGAGGTTGCTGTGAGCTAGGCTGACGCCACGGCACTCTAGCCCGGGCAACACAGTGAGACTCTGTCTCAAAAAAAAAAAAAAAAACCGTACTGAGATAACTTTTCACTTAAATTGGTGAAAATTACAAAGTAGGATGGCCCATTCTGTGGGCAGGGCTGTGGGAACAGGCAATCTCATACACTGATGGCAGAGATGCAAACTGGTACATCCTCTTGCAGGGATATTTAGCAATATCTAAAAATACCGTATGTGCGTTTTCTATTTGTGCTAATAATTTCACCTTTAGGGAGTTATCTCAAAAAATAAGAGAATGCTTATATACAAAGTAATTCTTTGCAATATTGATTATAACTGAGAAATGTTGGGGGAAAAAAAACCTATATGGCCACACATCGGAGAATGGTTGAAATACATCCACACAATGGAGTATTATGCAGCTATAAAAAAGAACAAGGACCATCTCTCTGTACTGATATGGGGCGATTTCCAGTATATTCTAAGTGAAAAAAGGAAAATAGCATCTATAGTATGTACCTTTTAGGTAAGAAATGAGGGAAAAATATCTATGTATCTGTTCATTTCTGCAAAATGAAGCATAAGAAGGATAAACCAGAAACTAATGATATTGGTTACAATGGGTAGTGGTCGTGGGGAACAGGGCAGAAGAGACTGAGGACAGGAAAAGGTAGAAGGGATGTGCAGGGAGTGACACTTCTCTAAATATACATTTTTTCCTATAGTTTTGACTTTTAGAGCCATGTTATATGCTTAGAATATACATAAAATCAATAAAGATTGAAACCCAAAATGGAACATAAACAGAAATAAGTGAATTGAGCTATACTTCTATATTTTAAACCAATACGCACATATTAGTTCATGTGTGCTTACACACACACACGCACCACACACACACTGAGCATACCTAGCACTCAGCATCTAGATCTTCTTTCTAAATATCTTCCACTAAAAGACATTAGGGCTCTTTGGAGAAATAGCTGATTTTAGGGCTAGGGCTGGGACATATTCCTATGTTAATAAGTAAGGAATTGCTCAAAGATTGATGGGGAAATGTCAAAAACCACAACCAGGTTGAAGGGGCTTCCGCTGGCCAAATCTGGGACAGTTTGAGCAATAAAATAAATAAGGATCATTTTAACTGAGCGATCAACGTTAACATCACCAGTTGTGCAAATGGATGTCATGGGCCTCCTGACAGGATGTACTGAGAAGGACACAACCAATTTCTGTGGTTTTCCTGCCAAATATGCAGAACCTGAACCTATAATCTTGAGGAAACCTTAAACCCAAACCGAGGGGCATTCTTCGAAGGAAACAATCTGTATGCTTCAAAAAATGTCAAGTCATGAAAGACAAAGGAAGACTGAGGAATTGTTCCAGATTAAAGGAGACTGAAGAGACAGCATGACTAATTGTACTGTGTGATCCTGGACCTGACGGGATTTTTTCCCCGTTATTCATAAAGGACAGCTGTAGACAATGGATGAAATTTGCATAGGTTTTGTTGATTAGATAATAGTGCTGTATTGATGTCATCGTCCTGATTTTGATCATTGTACTCTGACAGTGTAAGAAGATGTATACAAAATCGTCATTGGATGGAGTGGGGGAAGGAGCATTGTCTCTGAGATTTTTAGATAGATGGATAGACAGACAGACAGATGGAGCAGGCTATGTGAATCTGGATCAATGGTAAATGGTGTGTAAGAATTCTTTGTACTATGTTGCGACTTTTCTATAAGTCCAGAATTGTTTAAAAAAAAAAAGATACAAAACAAACTCAAACAAAACATGCCTGTTTACATATACATCTCTTCTTAATTAACTGCCACTATAAGCGATGGCAGCTTAATCCAAATTTGCTGTGCTTTATTCTTTAAGGACAACCTGTAATTCTCTCACACTTAGAGTAAGGATAACATAAAGCTCCTTGGGCTCCTCCATCCTCCCAGAGGTTCCACGCTTCCTCCAGCAACGCTGTTCTGCAGGGCAGCCTGTTAGTTATGACAAGGAGGATGTTGATTTGCTTCCTTGGCCCTAAAACCACCTACCCATTACATGGAATTCTGCTCCTCTGGTCACTGTCTGCTTCCAGCCTTCACTGGTCAGGACATGTGGAGGTCGTCGCCGTGACTGTCTTTAGTCCACTCAAGAAACTGTACCATTGGCAACCAAGTTAATTATTCACTGACGCCTTTCTCTGATTTTGGGGAATATTGGAGCTCTACTGTAAGTTAGTATTACCTTGTAAGCAATAGTAAATATGACAGATATTAGCTAGTTGATGACCCTGGAGTATGAAGGTGCCCAAAACCCAAGAGAGAAGTAATTGTTTGCTCCCAGGAGTTGACTCTCTGGAACTGTGATCCACCCATTCCTCTTCCCTCTGCGTCGGAGTGAAAAATCCCTGGGCTGTACGGCAATGGCCATTTTTCCCCCATCATACGTTACCTCTGGGTTTCCTGATGGCTGTAGCAGGTTTGTCCTGGGAGCTGTCTTCAGCCCCCAAGTGCCAGCTATCCCCCTCACCAAGCTCCCTGCTCCCCTCCCAGAGAGCCTGCTGGTGGGCCTTCCCCTGGTCCTGGAGCACAGTTTGACCAATTTTCCATATGGGAATTCCTTCCCAGCATTGCTCGGAAATACCCATTTTTCCCAATCCCAAATTCCAAGAAAAATCAGTTGAAAAATTGGGAAAACAGAAAAGAGCATTATGAATTCTCCTGTGAGAATTAAAGCTTTGCAAGTGACATAGAGCTGTTACTGGTTTGAAGGATTCCATTGATGTCAAAGGAAATACAAGAGCAGGAAACAGTGACATGGTCCAAGATTAAGGTTGATATTTCCAGAAACCAGGACAGGGGTATGAAGGAAAAAAAAAAAAAAAAAAAAAGCAGTCATGATCTAATCAGCTCATTGTCCTTATACACAACAATAGCCACGTTATAAATGTGTGTTTGTGATCTGTCTTTAATGGTGAGTAATTGTTGCAAATAAGATACATATTAGTAAGTTTTTATGCATAATATTAATATATTTTATACAAATATTCATACAAATATTATGAATGGTGTTCCAAGAAATAACAAGTTTTGAAAGCAAAATATGTTCCTAAACTGGCAATTTTAACCGTGACTTTTTCTGATCACTGCTCTAACCTTATTGGGACATGTG